TAGTTTATACGTATATATATGGCATATATTAAGGGGGCCATTGCAGGCTGTCACCAGTGTTGGGAGAAGGAGCCTCCTCTATGGCCTGTCTTGCCATCCCCACCCCATGCGCCCCCCCTGGGCCCTGCTAGCCTGCCAGAGGAGGGGAAGCCCCTGGGAGACTGAGAACAGGATGTTTCTTCCACGTAAGAAAGGAGGGACCGCGCTCCTGTTCCCTGCGAACTGGGCGGGGTGTGCCGATAAGACAGAAGACACTCACAGAGAGGTGACATGGGATTGCTAAGGGGCAGACGTGGGGGTCTCCAGCCACCAGGTGGAGGCCGGAGGGCCAAGAAGGAGGGTCCAGAGACCCCACGCCCTCACGAGGTTGGAGGGGAGCAAGGTCAGGTTTGAGTCCAGGCCGGCTGGGTGGCCTTGGGTGAGTCGCTTCCTCCCCCAGCAGCTTCACTCTGTCCGCTGTCGGTGCGTGGACCTGCCGGGCTACTGGCTTCTTACCCGATGGACAAACCTGCTGCTCCAGCAGCGCGGGAGGTGCCTGGGGCAGATGGGCCCCACAGCCCAGGTGACCCAGCAGGCTGCTTGCCCCCCTCCCCACCCCCTGTCCCCTCCTGCCCCACCGGTCCTGGTGACTCATGGTTTTCCATTTTCAAGAAAGAACAAACAGAGCCGCAGTGTGAGCCTGTCTAGAGGAATACCCCACGTGACTCTGGGAGGCAGGAGTGGTGGGCTGTGTGTCCCTGCGAGTGTGTGCACACGCACATACATGTTGGACTACACATCGTGGGCACCGCAGTCATACGTATGTGGGCGTGCATGCCTGCCCATGCATGTATGTGCTGATGTGAGGAAATTGGGTTCCAGGCCAGGCCCCACAGCCAACGCGCTGTGTGCTATTGAGCAGGTGGCGGTGCCTCACTGAGTCTCAGCACCTGCGTTGGTGAGATGAATGTTCTGCACCTGGACCTGGCACACACTCGGTGGGGCACAGCCATGCACAAGGAGGTGCTCACAGGCCGATGGTGGAGACAGACTCAGGCCAGGTGGAGACAGCCCAGGGTGATCGTGCTGTGATGGGGAAAGGTCAGGTCACTATGGGAGCTCCTAACCTAGCATGTGGGTGAGGGTCAGGGAGGACTGCTTGGAAGAAGTAGCATATAAGCTTAGCCTGAAAGATGAAAGAAGTCAGCCAGGGTTAAGTGCAGGAAAGGGTATTCTAAGCAGAAGGAACAGAATGTGCAAAGCCTCAGGCTCAAGAGGTTCAAGTGTATAAGGAGCTGAAAACAGATCAGTGTGGCTGAGGGTGGGAGGGGAGGCTCTCTGTTTATAGCGCAAGCATTTATAGAGCACCTACTGAGTGCTGAGGGCACAGCTGGGAGCTAGGCAGAACTGGCCCTGTGCTGGAGGGACTCACGGACAAATAATCATGACAGTAAATGTGACATTGTACCCGTGACTGGAAGGTGCTCTGAGAGCATTTCCCTAGCTAGTCAGGGAAGGCTTTCCGGAGGGGATGACTGTCCAACTGTCACCTAAAAAATAAAACATTCATGGGGGCAATCAGGCAAGGGCCATGGGGGTGGGAATGAGCCTGGCTGACCCAAGGAACAGCAAAGAGTGGGCTGAGAGACGGGAGGCCAAGACTGGCCAGGTGGAGACTCTGGGAGGTGTGAATTCAAATCTGAGGGCAATGGGGAGCCATGGGAGGGTCTAGAGCAGGGCAGGGTATGATTTGACATATGCGAGCATCCACAAATGTGACTCAGCCCCCACCCTCCTCACTCTGCTGGAACCTTCCCCGGGGACTAGGGCAAGTCTCTTTTCTCTCCCAATATCAGTTTAATCATCTGTAAAATGGGCATTTTTTTAAGACAGAGTCTCACTCTGTTGCCCAGGCTGGGGTGCAGTGGTGCCATCATAACAACCTTGAATTCCTGGGCTCAAGAGATCCTCCTGCCCCAGCCTCCTGAGTAGCTTAGACTATAGGCAGGTGCCACCACACCCAGCTACTTTTTGTATATTTTGTAGAGATGGGGTCTCACTGTTGCCCAGGCTCTTCTTGAACTCCTGGCTCAAGACATCCTTCTGCCTCTGCCTCCCAAAAGGCTAGGATTTCAGGTGCGAGCCAGCACACCTGGCCTAAAACGGGCATTAAAGCACCCATTTTTTATCTCTCTGGAGTCACCAGGCAGTAGAGGAGGAAAGGGCCTGCCCAGGGAAGGGACCCTCAACTCAAATGGGGAAAATCAAGGCAGTGGTGTCCTAGGGGCACCAGAGACTGCTGGGCACCTCCTCAGCTCATGCAGTAACATAGGGACAGAGCCAGAGTGGGGTCCTCCTGCCTGCCTCTCTTTCAGCTTTGGTCCCTTACCCAGCAGGGATTGGGGCCTCCCAGGGTCAGGTGGGCCAGGCTTTGAATTCTGAGTCCTGGCTCTGTGGCCTCCCCTGCTATGGCTGTTTCTCCATCCAAAAAGCTATTAGTTAACACATTACTGTTAGAACTGCTAGGCCGGGCGCGGTGGCTCACGCCTGTAATCCTAGCACTCTGGGAGGCCGAGGTGGGGGCGGATCGTTTGAGCTCAGGAGTTCGAGACCAGCCTGAGCAAGAGCGAGACCCCATCTCTACTAAAAATAGAAAGAAATTAATTGGACAACTAAAAATATATAGAAAAATTAGCCGGGCATGATGGTGCATGCCTGTAGTCCCAGCTACTCGGGAGGCTGAAGCAGAAGGATCGCTTGAGCCCAGGAGTGTGAGGTTGCTGTGAGCTAGGATGACGCCACGGCACTCACTCTAGCCCGGACAACAGAGTGAGACTCTGTCTCAAAAAAAAAAAAAAAAAGAACTGCTAAAAAAAATATTTAAATCTATTAATGAAACATTAATGGTAAAACTATTGGTAAATATTACTGTCAGGGTAGCCCTGATGAAGTGAATTAGCATATTAAGTGGGAGGGGCACAGATGGGAGGCCCCCTGCTGGCCCAGGCTGTGTGTCCTTGGGCAAATGACCATGCCGCTCATGGAGCAGCCTCAGTTTCCCCATCCTCCAAATGGGAATAGCAGTCCCCACTTTATAGACATCCTCTGAGAATCAAATGATTTTTCCATTCACAGCCCTTGGCTCAGTGCCAGGTGCTTTGACACATTCAGTTTGTGTCATTTTGTTCAGTCTTAGCCTTCCACTTATTTTATTTCTTAATATTTATTTATTTTTCAGCCCAGGCTGGAGTGTAGTGACATTATCATAGCTCACTGCAGCCTCAAACTCCTGGGCTCAAGTGAGCCTCCTGCCTCAGCCTCCCAAGTTGCTAGGACTACAGGCGCACGCCAGCAGGCCTGGCTAATTTTGTAGAGACGGGGTCTTGCTATGTTGCCCAGGCTGGTCTCGAATTCCTGGCCTCAAGTGATCCTCCTGCGTTGGCCTCCCAAAGTGCTAGGATTACAGGCGTGAGCCCCTGCACCTGGCCTTGCCTTCCATGTTATGCCTGTGACTTCAGGGGAGGGCCTGAACCTCTCTGTGCCTCAGTTTCTCCTTGGGACATAGGACCATCATAATAAGCCCCTCCCACAGCAGTGCAGTAGCATCAAGGCTCCTTAGACCCTGGCTCCAGTGTCTCCACCAGGCCGGTCCTAGCAGCCTCTGTCCCCTGGGGACGGCTATAATTAGGACTGGCCCCAGCAGCTACAGATGGTATTTTTGTCTTGGGGACAGCAAGGTCCAGTTCCCACCAGGTGTCTGGTTGCAAGGCTGTGGGGGTTTGAGGGGGGTTCCTGGCTGGACCCCTGAGACTCCCCATCTTTCTGGGCTGAGTGACCCACCTCCGAGCCTGTTTTCTCATCTGTACAATGGGAGAATCATGTTTCCAGCCTTAGTGTGGTTGGCTCGGGCTCTCCCACGGAAGCCCTGATCAATGGGATTGTATCTTGGTTGCCCCAAGATTGGAAGAAACCTGGGTGCCGTTTCCCTGGGGACACCAGACCTGATGCGGTCCCCCAGGGCAAGGCCCGGGGTGGGTGGGGGGCGGGGCCAGGGCTCATCCCACAGCAAGGGGCGTGGTCAGGCCTCAGCTGGGAGGTGACCTGAGCCTCTGCCTGCGACATGAATGTTCCAGGTCCTTCCTCTGTGCGACACCTGAGGAGGCTCGGTTTCCTCTTCTGTAGAATGGGACAGCGCCAGTCTGACTCCACTGCTTGGAGGGTAGCACACCTGGCAGACTCCGGGATACCCCCAGACACCAGAGGCCCCCCTTCCCAGGAGTCCAGCCGGAGGCGAGGGGAGGCAGCTGAGGCTTCCCAGGACGGAAGGCTTGGCGGGGGCGGAGTGCGGATGTTTGTCCACGGAGACAGCGGAGAGGGGAAGTCATCCGGAGACAGGGCCTGGGGAATGTCAGAGCAGGTGGGATCATGTGGGGACAATGCTGGGAGAGATGGAGCCGGGTTTGAGCCCTGCTGCCCTGCCACAAAGACTTGTCCCTGTGACTACTTCTATCTGAGCCTCAGTTTCCCCACCTGGCAAAGGATTAAGGGTTTGTGGTTTCTGTGCAGCCCTTTGGTGTCTCTGGGCCTCAGTTTATCCATCTGGAAAATGGGCAGAGGAAGATTGGGAACTTTGGGTGGGCTCTGGGCAGCCCCTTGGCAAACTCCATGCCTCAGTGACCCCCTGATAATGGGGGCGGGTGGCCGAGTTTCGGGAGCACCTCCCCTACCAGCTGCCTCATCTCAACTCTTTTCAGCCATTACAGCTCAGCAAGCTGCGCTAACAGGGACACGCAGAGGAATGTGGCATAGCACCCAGGTTCTGAGCCCCAGTGGGGAAAGAGGGGGAGTAGAGAGTTGCATCTGACTCCATGCCTCAGTTTCCGCGTTTGTCCCGGTGGTCGTTACTAGGGAACGGTGCAGCCGCCAGGCGGGGCGTTGCGCCCTCTGCCCCCTCCCCGCTGGGCCCCGCCCCCGCGGCTGTCCAGAAAAGGTCCCGCGCTGCCCGCGCCGGGTCCAGCCTCCCAGCCGTCCTGGCCATGCAGGGCCCTCCGCCGCCCGCCCCGGGCCCTGGGCCCGGCTCCCCCCGGGGCTCCCCGCGTGGCTCCCCTGGGCTCTTCAGGAAGCTCCAGGTGAACCAGAGCATCCGCCTGCAGCGGCGCTTCACCGTGGCCCATCCGCTGTGGTGAGGCGGGACCGAGGGCCTGGCGGGTCCCCCGAGCGGCGGTAGGGGGTGGGGGAGGCGGGAAAGACACAGACTGGGCTAGCTGGGGCCTGGCCCGCGTCAGGGCACGGATGCTATGCCCCTCCTTCCCTCTCTGGGTCTCTCTCCCCTACCCTATCTCTGTCCCTCGCACTCGGTGACTCTGTTTCTATCTCTATCTTGTCGTCCCGCGTCTGGACACACGCCCAGGGGACCGGCCCTCTGTCCCTTCCCAGCTGCGCGGCGCGGAGCAGGACGGGCTGAGGCTCACGTCTCCTCCTGACCCTGGCCGCCGGGGCAGACGGGCCGCGCGTCCCGGTGGTGGGAAGAGGGGAAGGGGCATTCCTCCGCTGGCGTCCGCCGCCGCCGCCACCATCCCGTCCCAGCACCAGCGACCAGACCTTCACAGCGAGTCCTGGGTGTCCACGGAGGAAGACCTGATTGGATGCGGGCTTTGGGGACAGTGTCTGGGAGTTAAGAAGGGCTGAGAGCGGCTCCGCGCTGCCGGAGCGCCCGCGTCCCGCTGCTCTGTTCGGTGGCATCCTCCATGGACTCTGTCCACGGCTCCGGGTTCGGATCCCCACCCTTCGAGACCCGGCCACGACCTCGTGGGGGCGGGGGCGTGAGTCCGGGGTCGCGGGTGTGCGGCTTGTGGGCCCCGACTGTGGCTGGCACCCGGCCACAGGGTCGCGTCAAATTGGCACCCACTTGGCAGTTTGGCACCCAGAGGCTGGGAGAGATGGGAGGTCCTTTCTGCAAGGTCACACGGCCAGTGACAGCTGAAGGGAAGGGAGGCGCGACCGTGGACCCTGACAGCACCATTTTAGCCTGGGAGGGCGGTCCCGGAGAGTGACCTCAGGGCACCAGAGGCCAGCCATGAGTGGTCCCTTCTGTGGGCCCCATAGGGAGCGCAGCGGCGTCGGGAGGCACACCGGGTACCAGAATGGGACGCTAAAGGAGGGCGGGTCTGCCGCACGCGGGACCTGAACCCAGATCCGAGGCATGAAGCCTTTGAGGCTCCATGCCTCAGTTTCCCCTTCCGGCTGATGGGCAGCCGCAGCCCCGCGCAGCTCGCGTCATGGAACCAAGGCCTGACCCGCCGCTCCCGGCTAAGTTTAGAGCAGGAGGAAAAACAGCCTCCGCTCCTTCTCCCGCCCCAAGAAAATCCAGGCTCACCCCTTAACCCTCTGTTAGGTCCAGAGCGAGAGAGACACAGGAAGCCGCACGTGTAGCAAAACGCTGTTTATTTTGAGCATCTGGGTGCAATGGGTGGAGGCCAAAGACCGTCCACGAGAGAAAAGGGGAGAGCCTTGGGTTTTATAGAGGGTTTTTTGGAGGGCAGTAAGTGGGCCAGAACAGCCGTCTGTAATTAATTCTTTCGCAAACAACCAGCTCCTGGGACCCCTGCCCCAGTCACGCCCATCCTTCAGCTCTGGCGCCGCCCTTATCAGGGGAGCTAGGGAGGGATAAGCGTCGTCTCTATCCGGGACGGGGAGGAATGCCGGCTGCAGCTGTCGGTTAGGTCTACAAGGTCCCGGGACTCTCCAGACTCCTGCGGCTATTGTTTTACAAGCCTCAGTTTTGCATTAACCACATTCTGTCCTATGCATGCTTTTCGGGTTCCCAGCTGGAACAAGCCTAACAACCTCCGCGCCCGGAATCGGGCCTCGAACACCCTGCCGCCGCTCCTGGCCACAGTTTCCCTATTTGTCCACGGGCGCGCTTTCCTAGAGCCTTTGGGGAGAGGCCAGGGGAGGGCGGGGAGCGCCGCCCGCAGGCCTCCCTCTGGTAGGGCGGTTTGGGGGATCCGCCGCCGCCGCCGCCGCGGGGCAGGGAAGGGTCAAGGAAACCCCGCCCCCTCCGCGCTCCCGGCGGGAACTCTCGGAGCCTCGGAACTGCACCCCGGAGCCGAAAGACGCCCGAACCTACCCGAGTGCAGCCGGACTCAGCCGAATATGCCCGATCCCGACCCGAGCGCTACCCGGACTTGCTCGAAGCAGACCGAGCGCTGCCGGACTGAGGCAAGCGCGCAAGCTCGGCCTTCTCCGAACTGTCCCGAGCGCAGTCGGACTCGGCCGAGTCTGACCGAACTCTCCCGACCGACTGCAGGACCACGTCCAACTCCGAGAGGTCAGATCGGACCGAGACCCGGTCGTACTTGACCGAGCTGGGCCGAAATCTGCCGGAGGTGGGCGAGAGCAGACGGAAGAGGAGAGTGGGGAGGCCCGGGCGGAGGCGGGGGCGGAGGCGAGCTGGAGGTGTGGCCCGCGGCCCCGGCGCGGGGCGGGGCCTGGATGGCCGGGGGCGGGGCCAGGTGTCCCCAGAGGTGTGGCCAAGCTGGCTGCCGTGGGACCTCTCTGAGCAGTGAGGAGCCCGAGAGAGCTAGGCCGGCCCTGACCCCCGTCCAGGTGGAAGAGCCCAAGAAACTGCTTCCAGTCCCCGTGTCCGCCATGCGAGCAAGATCTCAGTTTACCCCTTTGTAATACGGGCGCCCAATCGCAGTCCTCGGACGTTCCATTGTGACCCCCTAAGAGAGTCCTGGGATGGGCCACACCTCGCCCATCTCAGAGACAGGATGCCTGAGGTCCAGCGAAAGGGGGATACCTGTCTGTGGTCACACAGCCACTTTGGGGAAGATCTGGAACTCAGGTCCTAGAGTCCAGAGTGACCCCGGTGGGGAGGGACTCCGGGGTACAGATGTGGGAACCAGCGCGCGAGAGGTGCAGAGTCCCAGGGAGGGTACGGCCGTGGGGCAGATGGACAAACTGGAAACAATCGCAGGACCACGGCACAGCCCCAGGGAGAAGGCGACAGGACAGGTGCAAGCCACAGCTGGGCGCGCACCTGCCGGCACCCTTGTCTCTGACCACGCCTCCTCTGCCTTCAGCTTTGACCTGGAAAATGGGCTCCCGGGCGGGAGAAGCACCCTGGACCCTCAGACTGGGCCTGGCCTGGGCCGGGTCATCCAGGCTCCTGCCCCGCACAGCCAGCGGCGCGAGTCCTTCCTGTACCGCTCGGACAGCGACTATGAACTCTCGCCCAAGGCCATGTCCCGGAACTCCTCCACAGCCAGCGACCTGTGAGTTTGGGGCTGATGGGATGACACCTTGACCCTCTGTCCTTCCTTTGTTTTTCTATTCATCAAACTCCTTCAAGTGGCCATTTGAGCTAGGTTTTAAAGTTTAAGTAGGAGTTTGCTACAGGCAGCTCATTTATTCAATGTGTGTGCTGCGAATGATATCAGGTGATCTTCTGTGCTTGGTCTTATGCTGGGGTGAGGTGGGGGTAGGAATCCAAAAACATTAAGGCCAATTAGCAGCAACTGAAGAAACACATTGATTTGAGCTTCCTGGTAGCCATAATGAAAAGGGGAATATAATAGTTTCTGTCCTGATTCTACTAAGATCCCTACTATCCCTAGGATGGTTCTGCCATTTATGAGATGCAGATAAAGCGAGTGATTGGTCGGAGGGACCATGGTAGCTCTCAGGGAGAGTTGCTGAGGGGAGCCCAAGGACCAGGAGGGTACCGGGAGAGCACGCCCTCAGCTGAGGGCACAGTGTGGGTAAAAGCTGGAAGATGGGAATATGCAAGCACTCTCCTGGCCACTCTCCCTGATGGTCCATCTCCCTGCAGACACGGAGAAGACATGATTGTCACACCCTTTGCCCAGGTGGGTGCCCGCCCTTACCAACCCCCTTGAGCTGTGCAGGTGGAACCGACATCCCCTTCCCACCACTGACCGCCTCATTCCCCACAGGTCTTGGCCAGTCTGCGGACGGTTCGGAGCAACGTGGCGGCCCTTGCCCACCTGCAAGGCTGTGGGGCAGCCAAGTAGGCAGAGGGCGGGGGTGGGTACAGGGCCGGCAGGGACAAAGTGGGCAGGGCAGAGGCAGGGCCTGGCCGAAAAGGGGGTGACAAGCTGGGCTGGGGCTCTGGCGCCTTCAGGTTGGTGTGTCAGGTGAGACCCAGGGAACTTGGTGGTGGGGCCAGGTGGGTGGGGTGGGCCACCCCTGAGCCTACTGTACCACAGGCAGGCATCGGTCGGGAACCCTACGTCCAGCAGCCAGCCCCCTGCACCTACAGGTACTGCACCTATTCCTCCCCTCCCCCACTGAGGGACAGTTGTCACCTTCCCTTCTGTATTGGTGGAGACTGTCCTTGAGTCCTCAGGCTGCAGCTGACTGTGGCCTGCCTCCCCCCAGAATGCCCCAGGGACTGAGTCCACCACGCCCATCTTGCCAATGGGAAGGCTCTGGCTGGCCCAGAGAGAGGCGGAGACCCGCCCATGGCCGCACAACAGCCACTTGGGGACAGATCTGGAACTTGGGTCCCGGGGTCCCAATTGGCCCCAGTGGGAAAGGTTTCAGGGTCCAGGTGCAGAAACAGAGCACGAAGGGCACAGGGTCCCCGAGTGGGGGTGGGGCAGGCCCTGACCAGCTCGACTCCCAGAGGACCCGGAGCAGAAGCTGGCACTGGAGACCCTGGACGAGCTGGACTGGTGTCTGGATCAGCTGGAGACACTGCAGACCCGGCACTCGGTGGGCGAGATGGCCTCCAACAAGGTGAGGGCTGCGCAGCCCAGGTCGCCTGCCTCTGCGCACGGCGCCCCCGTCCTCACCGCCCCACCTCCTGCCTTCCCCAGTTCAAGCGGATGCTGAACCGGGAGTTGACCCACCTCTCTGAAACCAGCCGCTCTGGGAACCAGGTGTCCGAGTACATCTCCCGGACCTTCCTGGGTGAGCCGTGTGTGTCACTACCTGGGCAACATCATGGAAGTAGTAAGAAGGGAGAGAAAGAAAGACTTCTATTACAGAGCCGATAATGGGATAATGTGAGCAGGATATTGAAGGACGAATAGGAGTTCACTAGATTAAACAGCTCATTGTCAACAAGCCTCTGCCCTGGGCCTGACTCTGAAAAGACCCAGTCTGGAGAGAACAGCTAGACAAAGACACCCCCGTCCTGTGGAGTCAGGACTGAGGGAATCAGAAAGAGAGCAAGGAGGTCATCCCAGAGGAGGGGGCGTTTGAGTCTTGGGGAGACAGAGCCAAACATAGATACCCTTAGCCCCATGGGTCAAGGCTGGATCAGAAGAGGGAACAGGAAAACTTCCAGGAGGAGAGGACATTAAAGCTAAGGTTTTGAAGCATGGGTAGAAGTTTGCCAAGGAGGCGATGGAACCAGACACCAGTGTGGGGGATGGAAAGGACACTAGGCTGTCTGGGGGAAAATGCTCTTGTGTCCCAGGTGCCCGAGAGCCATGCCTAGCAGAAGGGCTCACTGAGTCAGCCATGCACAGAGGACAGGAAGCTACAGGCCAGACAGGGACTTAACTCTGAGCTTAACTGTGCCGTGTAAAAAGGAAGATAGGTTGGTCCCGGGGCCAGGCAGGACGACCCCGCAAGCAAGCTGCTCTGAGCCTCACCCCGCCCTGTAGACCAGCAGACTGAGGTGGAGTTGCCCAGGGCGGCCGCCGAGGAGCCTGCACGGCCCATGTCCCAGATCAGCGGCTTGCACGGGCCCCGCCACAGCGCCAGCCTCTCCTCAGCCACCGTCCCGCGCTTTGGGGTCCAGACTGACCAGGAGGGGCAACTGGCCAAGGTGCGTCCCCAACCACAATGCTGAGACCTGGGCTCTGTGTGGATGTCCTGTCTCGGGCCTCAGTTTGCCCACCTGTGTACTGGGGCTCGGTGTGGGACCTGGTGGGGGTCGAGGCTCCAAAGTCCGTGGGAGTTGGGCTGGGGTTGAGCTCCAGCCCTTCACATTTTAGGAGCTGGAAGACACCAACAAGTGGGGGCTTGATGTGTTCAAGGTGGCAGAGCTAAGTGGGAACCGGCCCCTCACAGCCATCATATTCAGCATCTTTCAGGTACCTCCCCTGCCTTTGGCTTCCAATCTACCTGGGGTTTCCTCTACCCCTTCCTACCCCAAGACCTCAGGAATACTCATTTTTCACATTCTGTCCAACACTCCTGAATGGGATAATTTGAGCAGGGTATTGAAGGATGAATAGGAGTTTGCTAGGTTAACCAGTCCGCTGTCAACAAGCCTCAGCCCTGGGCCTGGCCCTGAAGAGACCCAGTCTGGAGAGAACAGCTGGACAAAGACACCCCCAGTCCTGTGGGGTCAGGACTGAGGGAAGATCAGGAGAGCAGGGAGATCATTCCAGAGGAGGAGGCATTTGAGAGGTGGATGGGGGTTCAGAAGAGAGAAGCAGTAGAACAGTGTGTGCTGCAGCCCCAAGGCCAAGGCCCTGACCAGGGGCCTGTGATGGACCAGGAGCGGGATCTGCTCAAGACATTCCAGATCCCAGCAGACACGCTGGTCACCTACCTGCTGACCCTGGAGGGTCACTACCACGCCGACGTGGCCTATCACAACAGCCTACATGCTGCTGACGTGGCCCAGTCCACACACGTACTGTTGGCTACACCCGCCCTCGAGGTACCGTGTGACAGCCGCGGGCAGCGGGGCGGGTGCGGGGTGCGGAGAGCCCGGCCCTCACCTGTCCTGCCCCGGCCCGCTCAGGCTGTGTTCACAGACCTGGAAATCCTGGCCGCCATCTTTGCAAGTGCCATCCACGACGTGGACCACCCCGGCGTCTCCAACCAGTTTCTGATTAACACCGGTGAGTCAGGGTGGGGCGCACGGGGCCCTGCCTCCGCCCTGTCCCCCATGTGACCTCAGGCCGGCCCAGTCTCTGCCCTGAGCCTAGTCTCCCCATCTGCGAAATGGTGGTGAGAGACTTCCCCCCCTTCAGGTGCTCAGAGCGAGCCCGGTACACAGTAGGTGCTCAATAAGTGAGAGAATAGCAAGCTGTGCCAGAACTGATCTGGGTACACCAAGATCTGAAAGTTTAGAATCCTTCCAGGAGTCTGAAAAACTCAGTCGATAAGCAATTATTGGGCGCCTTTTGTGTACAAGCACCGGAGTGCTGGGGGTGAGAGTGAAGCACCCTCGCTCAGCCCTAGAGTGCAGTGAGAGGAAGTGTCACTTATTCATTCAGCCAACACTCAGCACGCACTGTCTCCTGCCATGGTCGTCCCTAGGAAGCGTCCTCAGTCTTGCATAGGCACAGCTGAACACAGACACCCCCAACCCTGGGACATGGGTGGCTTCTTGGAGGAGGGCGCATTATGATAGGGCCTTCAACGCATGGGTAGGAGTTCGCCAAGGATTCCCAAAAGCTGCATTTGGGGGACACGGGTTGGGCGGGCAGGACTTGAGGCTCTTGGCTTCCCCCACAGACTCGGAGCTGGCCCTGATGTACAATGACGCGTCGGTGCTGGAGAACCACCACCTGGCGGTGGGCTTCAAGCTATTGCAGGCAGAGAACTGTGACATCTTCCGGAACCTCACCAAGCGCCAGCGGCAGAGCCTGCGCAAGATGGTCATCGACATGGTGAGGCCACCAAGGCCACTGGGGCCTGGGAGGGGGCGGGGAGGCGAGGACGGGGACGTCCTCATTCCCTGCACACCGCAGGGTGGCTGGCGGTTAAGCCGGCCCCAGGCACGTCCCCACTCTGAGCCTGAGCTTCCTCTTCTGTAAAATGGGACAGTGACTACCTGAGCCCTGGGCAGGGGAGGTCCTGGCTGCGATGGGCACAGAGGCCACCTGGCAACCGAGTTTCTAGGGTTCCAGGTACGACTTTTTCTAAGCCTTAAATTAAGCACATCTTTCTGTTTGATTTTCTTTTTCAGGTAGGGGGACATCAGTAGGTTTTGGGGTCTTGTGCCTCATTCACTCATGTGAGAAGCATCTATTGAGCACTTACTGTGTGCTTGGTCTGGGCTGATGCCCAAGACACTTTTTGCCTTTGGGAGATTCGTGGTCTGGGGGCGAGACGGACATGCAGGTGATGACGGCCCAGCCGGCAGAGCCGCGGTGGGGCGAGTTCAAGGCGCTGTGGGAGCCCAGACCCCACGGGGAGGTCAGGCAGGGCTTGCTGAGCAGGCAGCGCTGAAGCCAGCGCGTGCAAGATGAGGGGGCTGCAAAAGGGGAGGAGTGTTCCCTGGAGAGGGAACAGCATGTGGGGAGGGCTCAGAGGAAACCAAACTGTGGCGTGAGGAAGAGCTAAAAGTTCAGCAGTGGGGAGTCGGGGCTTTGAATAGTATTGGGGACAGAGGAGAGGTTTGGGGAGAAGTTTTGAGACTTTTGTCTGATTTTCAGAGAGGCCTCTGGGCCACATTTGGGTCCCTCCTGGCTGGGCTGGGTCCACATGGGTTTTTACTTTTATTTTGATTTCTTATTTTTTTATTTTTTGAGACAGAGTCTTGCTCTGTCACCCAGGCTAGAGTGCCATGAGGTCACCCTACCTCACAGCAACCTTCAACTCCTGGGCTCAAGTGATCCTCCTGCCTCAGCTTCCTGAGTAGCTGGGACTACAGATGTACGCCACCATGCCCGGCTAATTTTTCTATTTTTAGTAGAGACGGGGTCTTGCTCTTGCTCAGGCTGGTCTCGAACTCTGGACCTCAAGCGATCCTCCCGCCTTGGCCTCCCCGAGTGCTGGGATCACAGGCGTGAACCACAATGCCTGGCCCCACATGGGTTTTTATTTTTTTTTTTTTTGAGACAGAGTCTCACTCTTTTGCCCGGGCTAGAGTGCCGTGGCGTCAGCCTAGCTCACAGCAACCTCAAACTCCTGGGCTCAAGCGATCCTCCCACCTCAGCCTCCCGAGTAGCTGGGACTACAGGCATGCGCCACCATGCCCGGCTAATTTTTCTATTTTTAGTTGTTTGGTCAATTTCTTTGTATTTTTAGTAGAGACGGGGGTCTCGCTCTTGCTCAGGCTGGTCTCGAACTCTGGACCTCAAGCGATCACTCCCGCCTTGGCCTCCCAGAGTGCTGGGATTACAGGCGTGAGCCACCACGCCCGGCCCCACATGGGTTCTTAAACATCTGTGTCCAGAGCCGAACTTTGCTCCAAATGGCTGGAAATATTAATAGCACTCTGGAGCCCACGACAGCCACACGGAAGTCAGGTCCCTCCCCAGCTGTGAACTCTGCTGTGGCTCCCGTGGGCTCTAGATAAAGCCCCAGAGCCCCTCTGTCCGCGCCCCCGTCTCTGTGTTCGCCGGCTCGGGCGCAGGTCTGCCGAGCCGTGGCGGAGCCCAGCCCCCTCGCAGAAGGGACTGCTGACTGAGCCCTCCCGAGAGCGGGTGCGCAGTGACTCCTGTCGCATTTCACGGACCGGGACGCTGAGGCTCTGAGGGCTGAGGGTCTGAGCGCGTGCGGCATGTGGGAGCGGGGAGCGAGGGGCAGTGCGGACAGAGTCCCTGCGCCTGTGTGCCTGTCACCTTCCGTTGCCTGTCCCCAGGTGCTGGCCACAGACATGTCCAAACACATGAACCTCCTGGCTGACCTTAAGACCATGGTGGAGACCAAGAGGGTGACAAGCCTCGGTGTCCTTCTACTGGACAACTACTCGGACCGCATCCAGGTGTGCAGCTCTCATTTACCTGCATTTATGAAGTGCCGACTGTATACCGAGTTTGAAGAAATGGCAGGAGGCACATGCCTATGCCTTAGCTACTTCTTCCCTCCCCAGGCCTCGATGCCCCTGTAAGACGGGGGTGTCCGTGGCAGGTCGGGGCCGCCGGCCGGGCCGGCGCCCTCCCGAGCCTTGCTCTCCCCAGGTCCTGCAGAGCCTGCTGCACTGCGCGGACCTCAGCAACCCCACCAAGCCGCTGCCCCTGTACCGCCAGTGGACAGGCCGCATCATGGCCGAGTTCTTCCAGCAGGGTGACCGCGAGCGTGAGTCAGGCCTGGACATCAGCCCCATGTGCGACAAGCACACGGCCTCGGTGGAGAAGTCCCAGGTCCGCAGGTGGCGAGGCCGGGGCGGCAGGCACTGGGACGGGGAGGGGAAAGAGGGACTGAGCCACCCCAAAAGCCCCCTGTGACCTGGGCTGGCCAGCAAGGGGGTGCGCCCTCATGGCGCAGTCTGCGCTGGGCTGTGCCAAGTTAGACCTGGGACCCGTTCTCTCTGGACTGTAGGGAGAGGGACTTGCACTCCCGGGGTTCGGAAATGTGTGTTCTGGGTGACGTGGGACACGCTGGAGGGGCTCCCAGTCTCGAGGACACACACATTCAGCCCTGTGGTGTCAGGGCTGGGGTTCGAGGAGCCAAGAAGGGGCAAGGGAGGCCTCCTAGAGGAAGGGTTATTTGAAGAGGGTTTTGAAGCATGAGTAGGAGTTGGGAAATGGCATTCCAGGCAGAGGGAACAACTCGGCCAAAGATGTGGAGGCTGGATTGGCTGCGGGTTCACCGGGACTCACTGCATGCCTGCCCCACCGCCCACAGGTGGGTTTCATCGACTACATTGCCCACCCGCTGTGGGAGACTTGGGCTGACCTGGTACACCCAGACGCACAGGACCTGCTGGACACGCTGGAAGACAACCGCGAATGGTACCAGAGCAAGATCCCCCGAAGCCCCCCGGACCTCACCAGCCCTGAGCGGGGTGGCCCTGACAGATTCCAGTTTGAGCTGACTCTGGAGGAGGCGGAGGAAGAGGAGGAGAAAGAGGAGGCAACGTTAGACAGGAAGGCCTCAGAGTCACCTGACACTAAGCTCCTGTCCCCTGAAGCCAGCCAAAACCCCAGTGACCTACCTCTGGACAACCACAGGACTTAGGGCAAGCCCTTTGGCACCAAATGGCCCCTAGTGCATGGACTTTCCAGGAAGAGGTGCCAGGTGACCCCTGCTTCGCTTCCCCACCCATTGACGGGGACCACTAAGCTTTTAGTTATAGATAGGTCTCAGGGTCTAATTGGAGACACCTGGCTGGTGTCCACTCTGACCCCAGGCTTGGCTGACAGAGCTCTCTAAGGTGCTGGGCTGGGGGCAGCTTCTTGTAGCACCCTTGGGACCTCCCCCCTGGACTTCTGTCCCTGGCATGAAGGGGAGAGGTCTCTGCCTTCAAGGTGGCCCCTGTCCACCTTCTCCAGTGGTCACTCTTAGGTCACATGCATCACTTAATTCTTTCATTCTTTATCAGATATTTATTGGGCGTCTACTGTGTGCCAGGCCTGTGCCTGCTCCATGCCTCTGGGGCCGTCCTGAGGGCGTGGGGAGCCAGCTCCAAGGAGAGCCCCCCGGAAGGCGCCTCGCCGTCCTCCGCTAGCAGGCAGCCTGCTGCAAGATAGCAGGCCGCAGATGGGGCTTTTCAGCACCAGAGCTCGCGCAGACCTAATTCAGGATCTAGAACTGACCGGGGCAGGGTGGGAAAGGGGGCTCTGCGTCAGGGACGTCCCCGACACTGATTTAGCCTGTGCACTGGCCGTTGCTTTACGTCGCTGTATTTTCTGTCCTCTGTGTCTGTGGACGTATGTGTCCCCTGCTCGCTCTGCCTCGGGACCCGCTGTCAGGTCTCCCACGTGTTGTTCCTCTTGTGGAGCAACAACAAAAGCACAAAATTTCCCCCGGGGCAGATCTCTGTGTCTCTTCCTTCCCGAAGCTGCCTCGGACTCCCTCTGGAGGGAGGGAGGCCCCTGACGCTTTCTTGCAAGCGTCATAATCCCTTCTGGGCCTCAGTTTCCCCTCTTCGAGCCTCATACTTGGATAAACTCTGGTTGGGAAGTGGAATATCTCAGAAATTTGGGGCATTGAGCATTTCTCTGGGGTTAAATCAACCCTTCAGGTCTTAAGACACCTGATTACCCCAAATTAGTGTCCTGCCCCTTTCCTGGGGGGAACTGAGGCGCAGAGGGGTCCTCTTGCCAGCTCAAGGCAGACTATTAGCCAGTGGCGCCCCCTGGCGGCAGGAGTGGGGTGGGGTCCAGCCCAGCGCTCAAGCCCCGAGTTCGATCCCCGCCTCCCCTTGCCTTCTTCTCGGGTGCCTGAAAATCCGTGTGTGATCCGCGTGTCAGCACGGCTGCCCTGGCTTCCAGAGCAGCTGCCTTCAGCCGTCAATATCATAGCGCCCATTATGCATCGCCACGGTTAACGATGACATTCCGCAGTGAGGGAGAACTAGAAGCCATCTGGGGGCGCGAACTTGGTGCATTTCCTTGCAGACTTTTGAATGGTAGAGCTTTAGGGAATTTTTATTTGGATTTTTTTTTAACTCCAATCCCCTTACTTAACAAAGTAATACCTGGTCGCTGTAGAGAATTTGGAAATAATGGAAACGTATACAGAAAGAAATAAAATTCTGTTGGAAACACACCCTTAGGTGTCTGCCTTCTGAGTTTTGACTTTTTTCTCTCTGGTTGTTTTCTCCATGTGTCTGTAAGAATGCTCATTATGTCCCCCATAACTGACTGCACTCTGCCTGCTCTGGCCTTCCGCACTGCAAACCCAGCGCTGCCCCAGGGCCTTTGCGCATGCCATGCCCACCAGCTGGAATGCTTTTCTCCCACCCCCCATCCTCACCCTTTGGGTTTCAGTTTGGCATCTTCTCCCCCAAGAAACTGTCCCTGACCCTCCACCAGAGGCTGGCCCCAGTGGAAGCTCTTGGGGCTGGGATGCTTTGATTCTTGTCACCACCTTCTCCAGACCCTGTTCCCCAGAGGCCCAGGCCAGACTTGTGTTGCCCACCTACCTGTCCCTAGTGGCTCCCAGAGATGGGCTTTGACAAGTTCGACAAGTCCCTTAACCTCCCTGAGCCTTTGTTGTTTCACGAGGAAAATAAGGTCTTTGCCATTTCACATAACTGTAAGAACAGTTGACATCTGAAGAGAGCATTTCCCGAGCCCGCACTTTGCTCTGCTCAGTGTGCAAATCAGCTCTGCCTCTTTCTTCTCCCATTTCATCGATGTGGAAACTGAGACCCACAGAGGGGTGAATCAAGTCATGCGCATGCTCCAAGTCCCCTGTTTTGTCCTGTTTGAGACCCTTCCCGAGGGGCACAGTCTTTGCTGTTATGACCCACCCTAGGCCCAAAGAGGAGGGTGAGAGAAGGTCTTCGGGAACCCTCAGAACTTTCAGCTATTGTGAACTCCTAAGGGGCCTCTCAGGACCTCAGTTTGTCCTCCGTTAAGGGGCGGAAAAGTTGCCGCCTTCGCAGAGCTGGAGTGTGGCTCCTTTGCGTGGGGGAGGTGCAGTCCCTGGAGCTCATTTAGTGAGTCCCAGCATCCGGGCCTTTCATCTGCTGTTCCCTCCAGGTACTGCTCCCTAGCTCTCTCCACGGTCCTTCCTTCCTTCCTTCATTCATGTCACAGCGTCAGAGGGCGCTTGGGCCACAGATGGCAGGCAACGGCGATGTCCCCATAAGCTCACAGATGGCTAATGGATAAACAAGTCAACATCATCATTTCTGATAGGGATGAAATATGGCGACGTGATAGAAGGTGACAGGCCTAACTTGGGACCTCGTGAAGGAGCCGAGCATTGGTTAAAGATGGAAGAGGATGAGAGAGCCAGGTATGGGGAGAGCTGGGGAAACAGTGCTCAGGGTAGAGGGAATGGCAGGTTAAGGCCCTGGGGACAATGGCACCTGGAACAGCAAGGAGGGAAAGAAGCACGGAAGGAGCATCTGAGTCAGGACTTTCCTTCAAGTGGGGCTGGATCTGGGTGGGTTCAGGGCCTGGGAGCCCAGCCCCTTCTCTCATAGCCTCTGTTTCCCTCCCCCCAACTCAACCACCCCTAATTCCAGATCCCGGTGCTGAATCTTGGTTTTATTTATTTATTTATGTATGTATTTTTTAAAACAGGGTCCCCCTGTGTTGCTGGAGCTGGAGCGCCGTGGGGAGCGGCATCACCATAGCTCACTGTAACCTCCGACTCCTGGCCTCAAGCGATCCTCCTGCCTCAGCCTCCATAGTAGCTGGGACTACAGGTGCAGGCCACCACACCTGGCTAATTAAAAAACATTTTTTATAGAGATGGGGTCTTGCTTTGCTGCCCACGCTAGTGTCAAACTCCTGGGCTCAAATGATCCTCCTGCCTTGGCCTCTCAAAATGCTGGGATTACAGGCGTGAGCCACTGCCCCAGCTCTGGGTCTTAACAATAAAGGCCTTGCATTATTTTTATTTTAAACTACAAAGTCAGCTGGTGCGGTGGCTCAGGTCTGTAATCCCAGCCACCCAAGTATGAAGCTCGCGTTTGGGAGGTCAGGGAGCGAGTCCTCTCACGTCACCACCTCCGCGGCCCGCTGGCCGGTGCCTGCACCAGCTGCCCCGAGCCCCACCGAGGGCGCGGACTTGCCTGCCGGTCCCCGCCTGGGCGCGGAGGGCAGGGCTGGGCGGGGGAGAATGTGACGTGGATTTAGTTTTATTTATTTTGTTTTTCTGAATTTTACCAATTCTCCGCACTGGAGATACTCCGCAGTCGTGATACTTTTACAGTCCCACTGGGGGAGGAGGGCAAAGATGTTACCCTTAGAAAAAAATAAATTTCCCGAATGCAAACGGAGGGGGAGGGCCTTCCGGGTCCTTGCAGCGCTCTGGGGGCGGGCTGCGGGTGGGGGTGGCGGGGGCCGGGCCTCGAGGCGCGAAGTTATTCTGGTCTCTCGGCGCCTCCGCAGCTGGCGAGCTTTTTATAAACAGGACGAGCCCCACCACGTCCCCAGCCCTGCCTCCTGGCGCGGGGTGGAGGTGGGGGTGTGAGTGGGGGTAAGGGTGGGAGTAGGGGTGGGTCCCCCCACGTACCCAGCCCTGCCTCCCGGCGCGGGGTAGGGTTGGGGATGGGTCCCCCCCACATCCCTAACCCTGGCTCCTGGCAGGGGCTGGGGGTGGATGGAGGGGATTGGGACTCTCCTGGGGGCCCCACACCCCCTGCGGGGTTTGAAGACCCGAAGTTGGGGCCAGGGTCTCTTGGGGCTCCTCACCCCCGCTCCGTTTTTGACTTTTCCCCTTAAGATTTGGGGAAATAAACCAAATAGCATCTTAGCCCCTAAAATCCCCATTCTCCAGGTCTCGCTTCCGCAGGATGGGGGGGTCTCCCAGCCCCGGGACTTTGACCCTGAGCACCACAGGCTGGCGGCCTCGCTCGGACCCTCCCCGTTTCCCAGGTCATCTGGAGACTTAGGGGACAGGCTTCTCTGCCCCAATTCGCCATTCCTTCCAATCTTCCTCTCCATGCGCAGTGCGGGGAGGTTCCCGGAGCAAACAGCCCCCTCCTTCTTTTTTGGGAATTGGTCGGCGGGTTAATCTCAGGAACAGGGGAGGGGTGAAGTCCCTGCCACTCCCTCGCTGGGGGTCTTACACCCCAGGAAATGAACAGGGGTCTCTAAGCCCGCATGTCCTTTTTCTTCTTTTGTGTTTATTTTGAACACCATCAATGCGGGGGAATGGAAGAGCTCAGGCTCCAGTTCCTCTTTTCTGGGGCATTAAACGAGAGGTCACAGCACCTCGGACCCGACCGTGGCCATAGCAGTGCCGGGTGGGCGCGGGCGGGGAAGGGAACCGCCCCTCCAAGACTCGGGCTCGGCCAAGGCCTCAGCCTCTCGGCCCTTCCACCGCCCGGAAGCCACCATTGGACAGGAGGAAGGAGTAGACGATCGCTTATTGGTGATCGGGACCGTCGCTCAAACGCTTAATCCAGTGAGAGGGCGCCGGGAAGCCCCGCCTCCCCAAGGCAAGCGGGAGGCGGAGTCAGCGCCTGCACCGTTCGCGTCCCTACTGGGGGCCCCGCCCTATTAGCGCGTCAATCTGCGCGGGAGCCCCGCCCCTTCGGGCTCCGCGTACGTCAGTGGCCGAGGCTCCATGCGCTGCTCCGCCTCCGGATGGCGTCACGGCTCTATCTGCATGTGAGGCCCCGCCCCGCCCTTTGCAGGACGTCACCGAGGACTGCAGGGGCCTGATCCGCTGCCGCCGCCGCCGCCGCCGCCGTGCATCCCACTTCGGCGCACCGGGACCCCTGTCACCGCCGCTGCCAGAAAAGCCGCCGCTAGTGTCGCCGTTGCATTGGCGCAGGGCAAGGTGAGCTTCCGGGCGGCCGGCGTGCTTCGGCTGCGAGCACCTGCATAACCTTCATTTGACTGATGGGCTGGCGGAGGTGGGGACCGGACTGGCAGGGGACGCATCGGGGGAAGAACGCGGCAGTGGCCCGCCCGGGGAGGGGTAGGGCCCCGGCGTCCCCCACCTGCCCTATCCTCACCGCTACCCCTCCAATCCCCCGGCTCTGCGGCGGAGGGGGAGGGGAGGCGAGTGCCTTGCGGGAAGCTGTGCGCTCGGGAGGCTCTTGCGTGCGCGTGCGCGTGATGTGCACACGCGTGTGGGCACCCGCCTGTGTCAGCAGGTCTGTGTGTACCCTTGCTCGTGTACCTGGGTATACTCGTGTGACCCCCCTCTGGGCCTAAGTGCATGCTGCACGCTTGTGGAGGGCGGCGCCTGGACTGCGTGTGTGCGTGCACAGCCCTGTGCATGCGTGCACGGGGATCCGTGTCCGTGTGGCGATGTGCACACGCATGGGTGGAGGGAGCCGTGCCCGCGGGTCACGGGTGGGTTTGCACATTGCTAAAGGAGGGTCAATGTGCAGACAGCTGTCTGCGCCTCTGTCCTGTGCCCCCGAGTGTGTTCACAGCCTCGTTTGTGTACGCGCGTGTACAGATGAGTGTGTGGGGCTGGTGCACGTGAGCGTGTGCACCTCCCTCCCCTGTCTCGTGATGCAGCTGCCACGGCCCGCGTGGTCCCGGCCCTGGGGTTTGGGGGAAGGGGAGGCTGCAGACGCGCATCCCCGCGGGACCGGACACGCGTGTGCTCGTGCGCCCGCGCGGCTCCGTTCCAAGGACCATGAAAGATTGATAGGGGGCGGGGCCCGTCACAGTCACCTCCTCCGGGCGCAGCCATAGGTTTAGGGTTACAGCCAGACCTGGGGTGCAGGCCTGCTGGAGGGGTGTCTCCCAACGCGACCCTCTGAGCCCCTGCCCTGCCTCCAGCCTCTCAAGGTCACAGCCCGCCCTTAATCCCGGGGCCGATGGGAGAGGGGTGGTCTCCAGACACGGGGTCCCTTCTGGCACGCTCTGCATCCTGTGCCTGGGCCTGGGCCTTCGAGGATGGAGGGAGCCCCCTCACGCTCTGCTGTTCCCGTACCCCCAGATGGCGTCTGCCACAGACTCCCGCTACGGGCAGAAGGAGTCCTCGGACCAGAACTTCGACTACATGTTCAAGATCCTCATCATCGGCAACAGCAGCGTGGGCAAGACGTCCTTCCTCTTCCGCTACGCCGACGACTCCTTCACGCCCGCCTTCGTCAGCACCGTGGGAATCGACTTCAAGGTCAAGACCATCTACCGCAACGACAAGAGGATCAAGCTGCAGATCTGGGTGGGTCGGCTGGGGGCTCCCGGCTGGGCCCGTCTCCCCTCCTTGGAAAAGCAGCTCCAACTGTTTCTCTTTCCTGGCCAGAGCCATTCATTTACACGCTGGGCATTATTAGGCGCCTGCTGTGTACCGGGGAGCAGAATTAGAGAGAGCACCCCTGTTCCCCCATAAGCACCTAATCTCAGTGCCTCAGTCTCCCCATCTTCAAGTTCTTCCATTCGAGGCTCTGTGTGAGGTTTCAGCTGAAATCTTACTGCCTGGAGCAAATGCAGGTGCCTGCCGTGGGTCTCCCTGCCTTCTCCCCAACCCCACAGAGGCCCGATGGAGCCTGTTATTCCCAGATCAGAACTGTCCCTTCTCTGCTCGCTGCCCTCCTGTGGCTTCCACCTCACTCAGGGTAAAACCCACACCCCTCTCCCAGCCGGGGAAACCCTGCCTGGTATGTCCCCTGCTGACACCTTCACCCCAGTCGGTCTTCCTCCATCTCCTTCTCAGCTTTCTCACTGTCCTTCAGACACACTATGTACAGTCCTGCCCCAGGGCCTTTGCACAGGCTGTACCCTCTCCCCTGGCCCTCACACGGCTCCCTCCCTCACTTCCTTTAGGTGTTTAAACTACTCTGATATTCTCCATCCTCATCCAGCTTGATTTTGCTCACAAGTCCTTGTCACCCTCCAACATAGGATACATTTATGTGGTTATTGTCTGTTTCTTGTTTGGGGCCATTACTTCTGCAAGAGCAGCAGTTTCTGGCTGTTTTGTTAACATCTGTGTCCCCAGTGTCCAGCACAGAGTGTGGCGCCGGTTGGTGCCCAGTACGTGTTTGTTGAATGAATGAGAGAACGATTCTGCAGGTAACAGTGACTCTGTGGGATGAGGCAACACTGATGTACTCTGAATGCAGGTGGCCCTTTGTGCCCCCGGGCAAGCTCCTGCCTCTCCGGGTCTCAAGGGGACTGTACAGGACCATCTCAGAGCTCACTTCCACTCTGAGGAGCTTATGTGGGTCCTCCCTGACCGTCACATCTTCTTCCCTAGGACACGGCGGGGCAGGAGCGGTACCGGACCATCACCACAGCCTACTACCGGGGCGCCATGGGCTTCATTCTCATGTATGACATCACCAACGAAGAATCCTTCAACGCCGTGCAGGATTGGTGAGCACGCCCCCGCCCACTCTCGGACCATCCTCCGAGCCGGGCTTGGTGCAGAAGAGGAAAATGGGGAAAAAATGATTTCAGATGCAAAAATGAAACTGTTCACATATAGGAAAACACCGTCGGTGGCTTGTGGGGGCAGTTGGGGACAAAACAAATAAGGACATTTTGCATAGGTTAGAGGCTGTAAACATTTCAATGTCCTGCCTGGAAGTAATGGTAAATTTTAAGAAAACTCCTGTATTTGCTAAAGAGGGAACAATTATTCTTTCTGGGAGGGGCATCTGGGAAGGGTGGGAGAGGTTGCTTGAAAGAGGGGCTTTTGAGAGCAGGAAACTTCTGGAGCAAACACCCAGATGGAGGAAAGAGTATTTGAGAGGCCAGGCACGATGGCTCATGCCTCTAATGCTAGCACTTTGGGAGGCTGAGGTCAGGAGTTCGAGACCAGCCTGGGCAACACAGTGAGATCCTGTCTCTACGAAAAATAAAAAAAAAAGATTAGCTGGGTGCGGTGGTGCGTGCCCATAGTCCCAGCTACTCCAGAGGCTGAAGTGGGAAGATCACTTGAGCCCAGGAGTTCAAGGCTGTAGTGAGCTGTGATTGTGCCACTGCGCTCCAGAGCAAGACTCTGTCTCTTAAAAAAAAAAAAAGTATATGAGGAGTTCCGGGGAGATGCAGGAGGCTGAGGCTTCCAGGAAGGATTGCTGGGGGTGAGGAGAGTGTGTTCCTGGCGGGACTCAGGCCATGAGGAAGGACGAGCCTGCCCCATTTAAAGAATGGGGAGGAGATGAGAGCTGCAGTGGGGCGTGTGGGGGGGAGATGAGGGGGGGTGGTGGACCAGCTTCCGGGGTCTTCCCTCTCCTGTCTCCTGTCTCCCCAGGCCCTGGACCAGCCTGGGGACATAGAGCTTGGATCCTCCAAGCCCTAACCTGCCCTGTCGCTGCCTCCCGCAGGTCCACCCAGATCAAGACCTACTCGTGGGACAATGCCCAGGTGCTGCTAGTGGGGAACAAGTGTGACATGGAAGACGAGAGGGTGGTGTCTTCGGAACGTGGCCGGCAGCTGGCTGACCACCTTGGTGAGTGCCCAGCGGGACTGGAGACGCACCAGGCTAGACAAAGGACATGGAGATCCCCAAAGGGGAGGGGACACAGCCAAGGTCTCAGAGCAAAACCATGACAGGGCCTGGATTCAAATCCAGGTAATTTGTACTTTCTGCAAACTGGCCTTGATCCAGGAGCCATTTGAGGTGGATCTTGAGGGATGTGTAGGAGTCCACCGGGAGGAAGATTGATGATTCCTTCTGACACCCTCACTGTCCAGCCCCGCAGTGGGCGTTGCTGGCCCCTGAGAGGCATTTAGCTCTGTGAAAGGAGGGACCTGGGCTGCAGAAGTCCATGGGGCAAGCCAGGCTTCCTGGAGGGTGGGGACAATAGATGTGGTGCTTGAAGGGTCTTTCAGGCAGAAGAAACAGCTTGGGCCAAGACCAGGGCTAAGAAAGTTGCTGTGTGTCTTGACAGCAGTTTCACATGGCTGGAACGTGCGTGTCAACTAGAACTGTGGCCCACATGCAGGGCCTCAGCCACGTGCTAAGAAGCTGAAGCTCTTCTGAGGGCAACGGAGAGCAACGGAGGGTGTGTGAGGAGGGGTGGGCACAGATGGGCCGAGTGTCAGAGGCCTCCAGGGCCAGTGCCTGGGGCTGGGCTGGATGGGGCGGGTGGAGGGTCTTGCCAGGGCAGTGAGAGCAGACAGTTTTAGGGTAAAGAAAAGGGCTGGAAATGTAGGGCTGACCCAGGTGAAAGTTGCTTCCCTGTGGGATTTGTCAGTGCCTCTGATGCGCCAGTTGGCACTGGGAATTTCCCTTTCCTTGGAAAAATCTCTGGGAGTTGGCAAGGGAGGGGTGGCCAGGGTCCTCACCTCCCCTTCCCTGACCACAGGGTTCGAGTTCTTTGAGGCAAGTGCCAAGGACAACATTAACGTCAAACAGACCTTTGAGCGCCTGGTGGACGTCATCTGCGAGAAGATGTCCGAGTCCTTGGACACAGCCGACCCTGCAGTCACCGGCGCCAAGCAGGGCCCACAGCTCACCGACCAGCAGGCGCCCCCGCACCAGGACTGCGCTTGCTGAGAGCTCCCCGCCCCCACCGCCCCTACCCCTTCCCTCACCCCCGGGCACGGGCACCCCACCAGCCACGGGCACAAGCCCCCTGCCCCCGACTTAGCCCTTCACCCTAATTTATTATCGTAGCTATTTATTTATTTATTGAAGATGTCCCCCAGGGGCCCGGGCTCCCCTGCCCACCCTGTACATATAGCCCTGTCCCCACTATGCCGTGGTGTGTCGTGGCCCCCCTGAACTCACTGCTCACCCTCCCGAGACCCCATTTTTTTTAATTCACCCCTATCCACAGTTGGTTGTGAAGAGGGGCCACATGACACCCAGAGCAGGCAGATAGGGTGATGGGAGGTGGCCAGGCGGCCAGCCCCTCGGCTGTGCTGAGGCGGCTGAGGCCGCTGCCAGGGGGTCTCCGTGTGGACCTGAGGGGTTAAAGTATGGCCTGCCGGGCTCCTCTCCCCCTAAGTTTTCTCTTTTGGTGGTGGGGGGTGCTGTGGGTATTCGCCACTCCACACCCCCCCACCCTGACCTGTTCTGACCTCACGAGTGTCAAACATGCCCTACAGTCCCCTAGGAGATGTCATGACAGCACTACACACATCCAATAAAGCAAATGGACCATGCTGTGTCCCTGTGAGCTCCGAGCCTCGCCCACGCTGGCTTTGGTCATCCCCAGCCTTGTCAATTACAGAGAATTTAATGCAATTTCCACAGTCCACGACCAGAGAAGGTGACCTAGAGGCTGCTGCTCAGTCCTGCCTGAAGCTTTTGGGGGTGACTCCAGGCCTGACCCTGTGCTGAGGAGATGGGCCATGTCCTTGCCTTTGTCCCAGGGCCCGAGGAAGCCCCACTTGGGCTGTTTGGCCCAGTGTTGAGGGCTTGGTGCTTGGGACTGGCTGGCTGGGTGGGGCCCCGTGCTGGAGATGGTCATCTGTCTTTGAGGTTGTGTTCCAGATGGGGAAACTGAGCCCCAGCTTGGAAGGGACAACTCAGCCAGATGCCCAGGAGTCAGAGTGGGCCGTGACATGGCCCAGGATCCTGGCCGCTGCAGGAGCTCGTTATCCAGCAGGAGCGGGGGTGGTTAGCTGGGGCTCAGCCTTGCTCTGTCTGGCATCCTCCGTCTGGCATCCGGTCCCAGGAACCGGCAGCTCAGTCCACTCGGGTGTCCAGGGCCACGCAGGCTGGGGGTGTCAGGAGGCCTGGGCTCTGTCCACACAAGAGATCCTGGTTCATCCTTCCACGTTCCTCCTAACCAAGCCCTCCTCTGCCTGTCCTCAGGCCAGGGTCGGCCCCATTTGGTAGACATGGCAGGGAGCTGGCTGAGGTCACATCAGACAACAGAGATGGGCTGGGTTTTAACCGCTGGAGATGAGCTCCCCGCGGCCCATCCTGGGGTATGAGTTGTCAGGGGCACGGGAGACCCTCATCCTCCAGGTTGGCATTACTGCCATTTGGGGCTTCTACGTGTGGCCCCCTGAGGAATCCCCTGGGTGCCTAGTCCACCCACCGTGCTCACCCGGTACTTCAGGTAGGACAGGTATGTGTCCCAGCCCAGCGTCAGGCCATTGATGTAAGTGACTCGGAACTGGGGGGGCACGAAGAGGAAGTTCACCAGCTGCGCAGCAGGCCACACGCACCAGTCGGCCTGAGGGGGAGGGGCCAGAGTGTGGTGAGGGGCGGGGCCAAGCCCTGCAGGGGCAGGACGGGTGTGGTGGGTGGGGCCAGGGTGGGCGGATCGGGCAGGGGCTCCTACCTTGTAGAATTCCCAGAACTTGTCCTTCAGCTCCTGGCAGCTCTCGCCCAGCGTCTGGCCTTCCAGGCAGCCCAGGCCTGGGAAGGAAAGGAGGGGGTGAGTGTCAGGGCCGGGAAGTACTGAGGAGATGGCAAGATGGCCTGATGTTGGACGGGAGCGATTGGACCCCCAGAGGACAGAGCGTCCTAGGCAGAGGGACCAGGATGTTCAAATGGGCTGGTGTAGGGGAAAACAGAACAAGCCAGTCTCATTGAGGGAGAGAGGTTATAAATATTAATATATAAACACGTGCCCTGAAGGAAGGAGACATACCTTTAAGTTGAGGCTGTTTTATTACTTCTCCATTACAGACCAGGAAGCTGGGCCTGGGGGTGGGAATGAGCTGAGACTCTGCAAAGCCTGAGGCTGGTAACTGCCTCGACCCTAGCCCTTCTTCCACCAGGCCTCAGGGCTTTTGTGCAGGCCATTCCCCTGCCTGCTGGCTCCTTCATGTCTCAGCTGAATGTCCCCTCCTTTGGGAAGTGCTCCTAACCTCCCACCCAGGGCAGCCCGATCACACACTGTTCTCACACTTCCTACACCCAACACCATTCACATCAGCCCCCGATAGCTCCCTGAAGTCAGGCTGTGTCTGTCCTGTCACCGCTGTAATCTAGCCCCCAATCCAGGGCCACCCACACAAGAGGCACATCAGAAACGTATTTCTGCATCCTTTGGAACACAAAGCTGGCCCTGCCCTCCCAACCTAGGAGGAGCAAATCTCGAGCTTATGGGGTTCCTTACCCAAGAAGTACCAGACGCCCAGCATGGGAGAGGCTACCAGCTGGTCCACGAGGACCTTCTTGAGGATGTTGGGGAGGCCTTGGAGGCCAGATGCGGGGAGCAGGCGGTCCAGCCAGAGGTACCAGTAGTGCAGGAAGGGGCCCATGCTGCAGCCCACCGCAAACATGCTCGCTGAGGGTGGTATAAGAGTCAGGGGGCCGGCAAACCCCCCAATCCACTCCCTCCCTGGCCAAGACCTGGGCGAGTCTGATGCCATTCCCGAGCCTCAACCTCAGCCGGAAAACAGAGAGCGCCCACCCGTGTATTCTCCCATTACAAGCCCCATAGCAAGAGCCTTTCGGGGGGCTCAGACCCCAGGGGTGTGTGGGGACTGAGATCCAGGGAGGGCTGTCAGGGTCTAGGGTGCACACCGAGGTCAAGGGTCCTGGCAGCGACTGAGGCCACGGGACAGGGTCATGGCCCACGGGGTCTGGTTTGGGGATCGCCCAATTTGAGGTCAGGGTCAAAGGTCCCCGGAGTCAAGGGCTAGCAGCGCGGCAGCCTCACCTGAGCGCCGCAGGTCGAACTTTTGGCCAGGCCGGGCGCGGATCTCCCAAGACTGGCGCGCGCCGTCCCCGGCCGCCATGAGCGCGCCGCAGCCCAGCGTGTTGGTGACAAGCAGCGCACGGCCCTGGAACAGAGGCTGCCCCGCCATCCACAGGCCGCGCAGCCAGCGAAAGCCGCCGGGCGCCATCACCAGAAGGAGACCAAGAACCCAAGAACCCGCGCGCCCATCCGCCCCGCCGCACCGACCAATCGCGAGTCAGCGCCGCGCCCAGAATGCCCGCCCTCCTCTTCGCGTCTGCCAATCGCACATGTCTTTGCCGGCCACGCTCCCGGCCCGAGCCGCACCGCGTCGACCAATGACAGACCGTCTCGAGCTCCATTTTGCCCACCCCTCTCACGGACCAATGGCAAATGAGAGCTGCGTTACATTACGCATGCTAATTGGTGGCGTTGCACGCTTGTTTCCCCGCCCCTTTCTGTGCCGGCCTATGGGAAACCGTCGCAGCATCCTTCTGCTTACAAGCGCGGCACTGTACTGGCCAACCCCAGGCCGCCGTCACGCTGGCAAATCACTGACCGGTGTCCCGCCTCTCGCGTTGAGAGGGACGCTTGCCACGCCTTCTGGTCTAGTTGCCCTGCAGATTTCCAGGTTTTCCTGGAACAAAGGAGAAGGGGTCGGATCTGTGGCCACGACAGCGGCTGAGGCGGAGTCCAGTTCTGCAGAGACTCAAGGAAATTGGAAACGGGGACGACTACAGTTCTGCCTGGTCCAGACGTTGACCTTGGCCCTGACCTTGACCTTGGTCCTGACCTTAGCTGATCCTCTGACCTCAGTTCCCAATGAATAGTAATTGAAACATCAGGCACAGTTCTGAGCACATTCCAAGCATCAACTCATTCCCCAGCAACTTCGTGCTGCTGCAACAATTATATCCTCATTTAAAATGTAATTGCTGGGGCTCAGAAAACAATACCCCAAAATGAAAGCCTCAGAAGCAAAAGTTTTCTCTGACCCTCTGGTAGTCTTTTGTCTGTCAATCCCATTCCCCAGTCCCAGCCTAGCCATAGAAACTAGAATCCCTCTTCCCTGAAGCAGGTCATAGAAATTTTCCCCAAAGCCAGCTGTAAAACCTAAAATAATTCTATGCAAAAACTAGCCATGCTGGGCATGGTGGCTCACGCCTGTAATCCTAGCACTCTGGGAGGCAAAGGAGGGAGGATTGCTTGAGGTCAGGAATTTGAGACCAGCCTGCTGAGGTCCCGTCTCTACTAAAAATAGAAAAAATTAGCTGGGCAACCAAACAGAAAAAATCAGCCGGCATGGTGCACGCCTGTAGTCTCAGCTACTCGGGAGGCTGAGGTAGGAGGATTGCTTGAGGCCAGTGTTAGGTTTGTTCCTGGTGGGAACCTGAAAAGTATGTATAGGATGGAATGCGGTTAATGGAAAACTTAGGCTTGTAAAACAATAGCCTCAGGAGTCTGGAGAGTCCTTAGGCTTGTAAAACAATAGCCTCAGGAGTCTGGAGAGTCTGCAGGCTGTAAATCTAACAGATAGCTGCACCAGCTTTCCCCTCCCTAGTCATCAACGCTCTTTGGCCTCCACCTATCTGAACCCAGATGCTCAAAGTAAAACAGCATTTTGCTACAATGAGGCTTCATGTCTCTCTCTCTCTCTCTCTGTTGTTGTGGACCTAACACCCAGGAGTTTGAGGTTACTGTGAGCTAGGCTGACACCACAGCACTCTAGCCCAGGTGACAGAGCAAGACTCCATCTCAAAAAAAAAAAAAAAAAAAGGACAATTTCTTCCGTATCTTTGGGTCTTCACTCTGAAAGCTCCCATGTGTACACGTTAAATAAATTTGTATGCCTTTTCTCCAATTAACAGCTTTTTGTGGATTGATTTTTCGGCGAAACTTCAGAGGGCCAACATAAATTTTAATGGAAACCTATGCATTCTGTCCTAGCACAGAGTGTCTCAAACTACTGCCTGCGGGCCAAATCTTACTGTTGTCTGTTTTTCGAGACTCAGGAACTGAGAATGTTTCTTACATTTTTTATATGGTCACGGGGAGGGGGGGGGAATCAAAATAATATTCTGTGACATGTGAAAATGATATGAAATTCAAATTTTTGTGTGTACATGTAAAGCTTTATTGGAATGCAGTCATGCCCAGTTATTGGCCTGCAAAAACTATATTATTTACTATATTATATTGTAGTGGAAAATTCCACTGAGAGGGCTCTACCCCATTGTCTTCCCTAAGCAGCTATAAACTGCTTGCAACAACTCCTGCTAAGGTGAGATAAGACAGGAAGACACTCCATAGGAACTCTGTACCTGGAACTAAGGTTTCTCCGGACTCTGCCCCCACTAAAGAATGACCTCATTGTAACTATACCCCACTTCCTCACTCATTAACTGTGCCCCAAGCAAAATGTATAAAAGACTGATACTTCTTTATTCGGGGCTCAGAATTTGGGGAGAAAAATCCCCTCTGGGCCCGCTGGCGTATATAAACCTGTTTTGCCAATACTTCTGTGTGCCTCTCTGTCTATTCCTGGTCAACTCTGCTGTAACAATACATGGCCCTTCACAAAAAAATGTTGCCCTGTTAGAGGACACACCCTTTAGGGTTTTCTGATGATCTTATGGGAGACATTTTATAAACTCTGTGGTTATAACTGTTAATAGCAGAAAATAGTTCTTGCCTATAGATGCATGAATAAATTCTGCCTGGGGGAGAGAGTCCCACTCCCAATTTTTTTTTTTTTGGAAATGGGGTCTTGCTCTGTCACCCAGGCAGTGGTGTAATCATAGGTCACTGCCACCTTGATCTGCTGGCCTCAAGCGATCCTCCCACCTCGGCCTCCCAAAGTGCTGGGATTACAGGCGTGAGCCACCGCGCCGGCCACATGTATTCACTTTCACATCTATATAAGAGCCATGATCTTACCTTTTTTTTGAAAATTATGCTTAAGCACTTCCTACTGTTGTCGAGAACCTCCGCCTGGTAATTTCAGGCCCCATATTTTACTGCATCTTGGTGGTAAACCTCCAACATGGTTAAAGGAAAAATTTCAAAAACATTAAAAAGGTCAAATTATGATTCCTCTGACTTCATCAACAAAAATGTGTATTTCGTGGCAACTGCAGCCCCAGCATTTCCAAAGAGGTAAGAGAACTTTGCTAACTCCCTCCTTTTCTCATTTTAGTTTTCCTTTCTATAATTTTGTACTTTATTTTGATGTCTTCATGACTGATGATGCACGGCATCAGGGATTGGAAATCTGGCCTTATGGTGTCAAAAAACAAAATTACAGTCAATTTAGTTTATACATTTAATTGACCTTTTTTTTTTTCACAATTCGTGAATCAGGGCAGCCTTTATTCCAAAATAAGATGAGAGCTCCCCCTGGGCCACAGCAGAACAGTGGGCTTTGTAGGGTGGGAATAAGGAAATAGAACAATAGAAAAAAGAAACTGTTAGTATCAGGTTACGTTTTTTGGTAAGGGTTAAAGCAGAGGGTACTTCCTGACTGAGGTCCACTAGAATCTCCTCATTTCAGGAAAAACTGGTCTGCTTTGGGATCTCTCTGCTTCCTTAAAGTTTCAGTTTGGTTATGCAGCACTCAGCACGAGTTAAGGCGTTTTGCTTTGTTCTGTGCGCCTAGCGCGGGAGCTGAGCAGAAAACAGCGGCCTCCCAGAACTTTGGTTAACATTAATCTGACCATTCGGTAATCTGTAAACAGATTAAGTGGATTACTGGGTACTGGCTGGGAGACACTGAAGGATGGATTAGGAATCTACGGCCGCAAGGAAGAACACCTGTCGACATCTGGACCTGCGATTTCATGTGTTTCTGTTGAAGAAGTTCAGGACATGCCAGCCCCGACACATGCCACTTTGGCATATTCATTATTTTGAGTTAAAGGCACTTGAAAAACAGCAGACACAAGGACACTCGATCTTCCATTGTCTTCCGAGAAGCAGGAGATGAAATTCTCGCAGGACAGGGGCACTCCCTGTGGCGGGAGGAGGAAACGTTCCATCCCCAGAGGCGGAGCGGAGGCCGTGAGAAAGCTGTGCACGTCGTCGGGCCTTTTCCAAACAGCTCTCACCTTCGTGGAGAGCCTCCATACATATTTTATGGTCTTTTCCATGATCGCCACTCTTCGTTCAAACCAACATATGAACACTTCGATCTAGTCGCTTCTTTGGGTCTCCGTTTTGCTTGCGAGGGCTCCCACGTATATGTGAGTAAGCTTCCCTGTTAACCTGTCTCATGTCCATCCCAGCCAGAGACCTCAGGGGAGAGGAGGAAATTCTACCTCCCCTAGGCTGCACTGAGCTGTCGTCCAGTCCGGAGTGTACTGTCGTGATCTTAGCTCACTGCAGCCTAGAACTCCTGGGCTCAAGCCATCCTCCTGTGTCAGCCTCCTGAGTAGCTGGGACTACAGGCATGTGCCATCACACCAGGCTAATTTTTAAACAATTTTTTGTAGAGACGGGGTCTTACTGTGTTGTCCCAGTTAGAGTTTTTATTTCTATATTTCCATTGCCTGTCTTTGGAAGTTGTTCTAATCTTGGGAGGGCTGCATCATTTGCCTTGTCTTTGGGACACCTCTTGCATCTATGGTTAGGTATGTCGAAAGTCTTATTGGTTTTTGCTTTGAGTCACTTGGAGTAGGTGTACTTTTGATTCTAAAAAAAAAGAAAAAGAAAAGGAAAATTTAATGTTTATCCTGGCTCGCTGAAAACTGATAATAAAATATTGGTAAGGATTTTTTCTTTTTTTAAGGAGCTCTATGGTCTGAGACTGTCCTCGATGGTGGCTACTGTTCCGGGTCCGATAGGAACGATTTTTAAGGCTGTCTCTCCTAAACTAACATGAAACTATGTTCTCAGAGGGCTGTTAGGAAACGAACACAAGTGAAAAATGTGTATGTAACATTTTTCTACTTCTTGATGGTATTGCTGGAAGTTAATTTGTAAAAGAATTCTGCTTTATTGGCTTTTAAAAAGAAGCTCTTACGTAAATCAAGACTCGTCAAACAAGCTCATATTATCTCTAGCTGTTTAAGATTATAAAACTATTAACTATAAATTATAACACTATAAAAACAACCTAAGAACAAAACATGCAATGAAAGTGAATTGTGCCGGGTGAGGAAGCACGTGCTTGTAAACCCAGCTACTCCAGAGGCTGAGGCAGGCAGATTGCTTGAGGTCAGGGGTTTGAGACCAGCCTGGGCAACATAGCAAGACCCCATCTTTAAAAAAAAA